CACTAATCATGTTTCATTGGAATGCTATAGTGGTAAAATACAAATACAACCTAATTGATTCAATTTTTTACAATCAATGGATATTAAACATAACAAAAATAGAAGAAAATTACTTAACTTTTTATGAATAAAAATAATTTGGTTTACAAAAGGATATGTCTATTTGTTTTGACGTAAAATAATTTTCGGAAAATGTTTTCAAGATTTATGCTTATTTGGAAGATGAAAAATTTATTTAAAAAAAAACACCTATTGACTACGTAAAATGTTTTACACCTTTAAGATGCATAAAACATTTTCCAGAAAATAAAAAAACTGCTATATTAAACCTTGCAAATATTAATTTTTTTTGAAAATTGATGAAAGCTAATATTTAACTTAAAATATTAAAAAAATAAAAAATATTAACATTTAAATTTAAAATTTTTTAACTTATAATATTAATATTTAAATTATTTAATACTATTAAAATTTAAATATATTTTTTAATGAAATAATATAATGCAATATAATATTTTTATTAATGAATTGAATAAATCTTACTAATAATTATAACAAAAAAAGTATTTCAATGATTGTCATTTTTTTTGAATAGCAAAGGCAATTCAATGATTGTCATTTGATAAATACATATTTAGAAATATAAGTTTTGGATATTTTACCCAAATTTATGAATATTGATAATTTTTATAGTGTTATGGCAAAAAAAATGAGATGGAAATCTTCTTGAAAATAAAAACTTACTTTGATTACAATATGTGATTAAATGTTTGGAAAATATCATTATTTATTTTTTCCATTTTCATTTCATTCTTAATTTTAATGTGAAGATCAAATGGCACAATTGTTCTGCAATCAATGTTTATTTATAATTTTAATATCCAAATAATTCCACAATTGATGGTGAAAAATATGTTTTATGAGATCATCTGAATAATAAAAAATATTTTTGATAATCTATCCAAATAATAGAAAATATTAAATTTTTTTATAAAATATTTTACACAGAAAAATTTTGTTTCTAAAATATTATTTTTTGATTTCCAAACAAACCCTTATGTAGCGTTTGGTATTCTACAATATAATATAATTATAAGTAATGTGATTGCAGAGCAGATAACATTGCAATGTTTGATATATAATCAAAGTAATGACTAAAATGCAAAGAACATAATATTGTAGTATTTAGTTTATAAGTATTTTGTTGTAAATGTAATGTTAATTTTCAAAATTACTTCTATTTATTAAAATACAAGTTTAGTATACTTGTATTTTTTTATTATTAATTTTTGTATAATATCATCCTTTAAATATATTTTATTTTCATTTCTTACTATAATCTTATATATTTTATTTTTATTTTTAATATAATTTTTTATATTAGATATTTTATTTTAATTTTTTTAAAAAATAATATAAATTTTATTGATAATCGCTATGACTATTGAGGATAATAAAAAAAATCCTTCAAAATCCATATATATAAAAAAATATGTTATAATATTATAAAATATTTTTAATAAAATAATAAAATTTAAAAATAAATATTTTAAATAATATTATAAAATACAATACAATTTGATTGTGTCAATTTTAAATTACAATCACGTTATATTCGTTGATGCTAATATAATTATATTATAATTTTATATTATAATATTTTATAATAAAATAAATATTATAATATAATTTAATTAAATATATTATAAAAATATATTTTTATTTTTTTCATACTAAACTAAATAAAAGTAAAGAAAACGGAAACTCATAGGACTCACAATCCACAATCTAAGAATCGAAACATAAAAGGGTAATAAGAAAGGGTCGGTGAAGGATGGTAACCGTGGGCATGAGAATGATACTTACTGGTCCCTACACGCCCCTCGCTCTCTGATGGAGCCCAGCTGGGCCGCAGAGACAGTAACCTCCAATATAACAAAATACTGCTAAAATAAAGCCCCTTCCAGGAAAGAATACAAAGGGTCAAATACCTCGGTGGGAATCCTGATGTGAATTATTACTGGTTGGTCATGCGATCCTAAGGAAATCCAGTTGTAGTGAGAAAAAGAAAGGGAGAAGGTGAAAAGCAGTAAACAAGTTCTTTTAGAATGAATATCCAGTTGTAGTCTCGTGTCACATTCTAAAAATCTAGACCCATGATGACAAGTGTCCTTCGCTCACGCGTTCACTTGCCTAGGTTGAAGTGAAATGTTAGCAACCCAACGGCCAACCCAAACACTTTATTTTCTCCCCTCCGCAGAACCAAACTCCAGCTCCCGTCCATTAAATCCCAACTTTATAATACACCAACTGGACCCACACCCCAAAATCTAGAAACGAAACTTCCTTTGTTACTAGCGAATTCTTTTATTTATAGCTTCAGCAAACCCACTTAACTTCTCAGAGCAAAATCCCTTGCTTTTGTAGAAAACAGTTCTGGCTCTGATAAAACGAGTCCAGAGACACTGATCAACAGCTCAACGTTACATTTTTTCTTAGTTTCCTAAAATATGGGTGTGGCTAAGCTTGTTTTGGTTTCCTCGGTTTTGGTCGAGATATTTCTGGTCCAAGCAATGGCTGATAAATCAGAGCTGAACCCATCTGAGATTAAGGCTCATAACGAGGATGAGCCAGGTTGGGTGTTTCCTAGAGAAGCAGATGAGCCTGCTGCAACTCCTGCCGAGTCATCTAACGAGACCAGAGAGGCCGATGCACCAGAGATCAGACGGCTAGGAAAGCATCATTTATCAGATAAGTCCGTGGCTGGTGGTGGTGTCATCATTGGTGGACTTGTCACCGCAATTTTCGCAGCTGTTTTTGCCTACATTCGAGTCACAAGAAAAAGGGATGGAGTTAAATATTGAGCTTTGTTTCTTTGTTGACTCTGTGGGTTTCTGCTTTTTATTGTTCACACATTTTTCCTCCTTTATCTCGTAGAGCTACAGGTAGAAGTGAAGGAGTGATCTTCATACATAAGCATTTTACTAGCTAGAAGAGGAATTGTTATTCTTTTCATTGTAATATTGTGTAAATATCAAATTGAAATTTCATCTCCATAGCGTCAAAACTCTGGCTTTTGCCTACTTTTCGAGAACTAAGAAGTCTATTACTTTTTTTTTTTTGTTTCATTTTATTTTTAATTTTCCTGGGAGCATGTTGTGTAGCTTGATTGTAATATTACGCACATTCTAGAAAGGAGTTGATTTTGAGAGTTATATTTTTAGAATTGGTCCCAAACTAAAAATAGAAGGGCAAATCTTTCGTTATTACTTGACAAAAGAAGAATTATTTTTCATTTTATGAAATAAGAAACGGGGAGTCTTTGACATGGTAGACTTTGTTTTCTTCTGTTTTAACACGAGAGCGGATCTGTTAGAAGCTGCTCGCCTGCTCCTTCATTTAAGAATTATCTTTCACATGAAATTGTTGGGTGTTCAGATCTGATACTCCATGGTCTAATTTTTTTATAGCACGAATCTCAGTTTGTTTCCCCTAAGGCTAAGACTGAATATTTCCAGTTTCCTGCTTTCACACCCTTCAAAATTTCCCTTGGTTCAAAAGTTTCCTCGTTCCCACTGTGCTTGAGTTATGTTGTCCGAAAATATGAGGCGGAACGTTTGTGTGCCTGTACCTTAGAAACAAGGAAAGCTGAAACACCAGAGGCAATTTTCAATTTTTGCCCTACCAGACCAGGTCAGCACACGATGCAATAACAGCAGTAAGCTGTCTCTAGCGTTTTCTCTGGCGCTGCTAAATATATATGGAACCTGTCAAGCAGCGCAAATTAAATGATGCTTAGGAAAGCTTCAGGTTTTCGAAACAGCCAAGGCGAAACCATTTGGTTGCGCTTCGCAGCCCTAATTGTGAGAGTAGGACCTAATTAAGACCACCAAGACTGAGTACCCTTCAGAAGAATTACTGGATCATTTGCTTTATAACCAAACTTTTATAGATGTCACTGTCATGCCTTAACTTCCATTAATGGTTCGTCAGCCCCTATTAGCAGACTCTATATTTGGTGGGAAGAAATTCCACGCTAACCGAAGTTCAGATATTCAAGCACAGCTCGGCTACAGTTGTTCAAGTACCATTTCTCAGGAGCAACTTGCTTGCCTCAATCGATGAATAACTACCATTCTCAAAGTCAATTCGCGAAATCTGACACTCTAATCGTATGGTTGTTTAGATGTAGTGAGACTGCGTGTATCCCCAGGATAAAAAACTATGCTGCAATAAATAAAATTTGAAGCTAAAATTTTAATTTTAAGATAAAATGTGGCAACAACTAGAGTCTTTTCCTAACCAATATTAGATGGAAGAGTCGGTCATACAAATCAACGAACCGTCAAGTGTGGGTTCAATCACCAACACGTTTGCGACACCGTATTGTAATGAAACAATGCAAAAATATGGACGTTGAACAGTTGGCCCCTGTGAATTGGTGAAAGGTAACCTGGTGAGCAAAGTACTCTAGCCAAGGATGTTTTGTGGTTTTCGGGAGACAAAGAAAAAACAAAAAAATTCCTCAACTTTATGTGCTTTCTAATTGAGTCTTTATATTTATCAAGCAATGTCTAAGATATTTGAGTATAAATTTAGAAAATAAATAAAAAAGTTAATTAAAAATTTATAAAATTTAATTACCTTATCCAATAATAATCTTTATATTAACACGACACCATTTATCTTTTAAGTAAAAGAAGTGTGTTAAGGCTTAAGGAGTTGTTCCTTCGCGGACCGTTACTTAAGCAAAGCCCTGCTAAAACCATGACTGGTAAAGTTTAAAAAGCGCAAGGGGCTACAGTCGATAGATGCTGATATAAATAAAATTTGGGACTATTTGAGCTGCCACAGGCCCATGCAGCTGAAGTATAGGCTGGGCCTTAGGGTTTAACCAGAGTGCAACTGGAGACAGCCCAAGAAATGATTTTATAAAGTGATTACGTTCGCTCAAAACTCGCCTCTGTTTCCCTCTCAAAACCAATTTTCAAAGCAGAAAAATGGCCTTTTCTCCAAATTGGTGGCGTGCACCAGTCTACTTCACCGTCTCTGTTTTGTTGGCTTTCTTAGCAATCTCCACAGCGCTACGCTCACTTCCCAAAGATGAACCACTACCTACAGAATCGACCACAGCTCCAATCTTTTTGGAAGCCTCTGGCGCATTAAGAAGATCAGGGTTTAACATCATAGCCGCCCTCCTTCAAATCACCCCTGAAATCTTCCTTTCTTCTCCGCACTCAACAATCTTTGCAATGCCGGACTCTTCCATTGCAAACGCCTCTCAAAATTCTTGGCTCTTGAAGCATCTTTTTCAGTATCATACCTCTCCTCTTCAGCTTTCCATGAATGATCTCTTGAACAAGCATCAAGGAAGTTGCTTCCCTACCCTACTTCGTCGAAAGAATGTCGCGATAACTAAGGTTGATACGAAAGAAAGAGTGGTAGAGATCAATCATGTGTTGGTTTCACATCCGGATATCTTTCTTGAAGGGCCCTTAACGATTCATGGTGTTCTTGGTCCATTCACTTCAATGGATCCTCAAAATGTTGATCAGGGTTGGGATCATATTCAATCACCTATATGTGATTCTAATCTTAGATTGGTTTCGGAGGCTATTGACACCAAGAACGTGGTTGAATGGACATATATTATCCGTTTGCTAAGCTCGAAGGGATTCGTTTCTTTTGCAATTGGCCTGAATTCTGTTCTTGATAGGATTCTTGAAGATAAAATGAACTTGAGTTCTGTTACAGTCTTTGCTCCACCAGACTTTTCGTTTGTAGCATCTCCTTCAGCTTTGCTTGATAAATTAGTGAGGTTTCATATACTACCTCGAAAGTTCACCTATAAGGAACTTGCTTCTTTGCCTGCTAATGCATCACTAAGTACTTTAATTCCTGATCGTGATCTTGAGATATCTGGGGGCGTCAATGTCACACAAGAATTGATCATTAATGGAGCTAAGATTGTTGCACCAAATATCTTTCTATCCAAGAAGTTTGTGGTCCATGAAATTTCTCAAGTTTTCCAACTGGCTGAGCTTCCTAAGACCTCTAGCTGAGTGCAGTTCCATAGACAAGAGGATCGACGCTTGTTAGTCCAAACCAAGGAGCAGAGCTGATTTTCCCTCGTGTCTTTAAAGCTCCAGATGTATAACCCATAGATAGCTTCGTATTCCTCGCACTCATGTGGGTAAATTTTGTTATCTGACCGAGTGCTTTACTTTAACTCTTTGGATTTTCTCGAAGAAGTTGTAGATCTTTATATGCAAAACAGGGTTTTTTTTTTCTTTTATATATTTCATCTTTGGACAGCGGATTCAAACAGGTTGAAGTCATTGTTTCTTATCACGAATGGCTAAATTCAGAAAACATAGAAGCAAAAAATAAATAATTATGCAAAGCATTGTGAATTTCCGAAGGAGCCGGTAAATCAAAACGATAAAGTTGCCAGAGTTCCAGAAAAAAACAAAAAGTTTCAAGTCCATCCCCTTCTTAACATCATGATTAACAATTAAATGATTCAAAAAAAATCTATAAGATGAAAGGGTAAAGATCTTGAGTTGGAAACTTGGGAAGTTGAAATAATCATAAGGGTCTCCTTTCTATCAAAGAAGAATTATAACTAGTACATCACACACAAAGCCTGCCTGCCTCCCTATAGGATGATGACAATAGTGATAATAATAGTTGGATCAAGATCTCCGCACTATCTTTTCAAACAATAGTGATAATAAGAGTTGTTGTATTATGAGCTTCCCAAATTTGTCGTTGTCAATTTCCTGCAGCAAAGATAAATAGCGCCATGTTAACCTTGTTCTGCAATCCCTTGAAGTTATCGCTTGGGAATTGCATTGACTCCTTGAGGTCATTTTTTTTTCTTCCCCTTCTCTATTCTCTTGCATATAAACTTGATTTGGGGCCTGCACTGCCTGGTATAATATTGCAATTGCTTCAGTGAATTATGTATATGTCAGTATATGTGTCTATCATAGAGTAAAACTAAAAGGCAAGTATTTATGTATATATAGTTTTCTGTTTTCATAATTTGTTTTGATTCATTACCGCAATGTCCCTTGCAGATTTTATCAACAATAGGTTCTGCTGGGCGCCTTCCATTTTCATTTATGAATCTCAGGATGTTGTAACTCCAAATTGTTGATGTGAGGCTTGCTTTGAAGACCAAGCAAAGTCAAACACTTAGTGAAGGACGGTACTTTTGATGTTACGTATGACAGATTGCTTGTATTAGAGAAAAATGTCAGCAAAGGCATGATTAGGTTTAATGTTAGCTGTTTTGTTCAAACTTAAGTCAATTATTGTACGTTTATATATAAGTTAAAAATGAATGAAGAAAGGTTGGGGATCGCCATTCAATTTCAGTTCATCTTGTTTATTTCCTCCCGTTTTTCACTTCAGTTTCATCTTTAATGCTCCTGCATTGATCTTTAATGCTCTACATCTAAATTTCATACTATTAATGCTTTAAAAACCAACATGGTATCTGACTTTACATAATCTTAAAGGCCTGTTAACAAGTTTTAAATGCCTTCACTTAGAAAGGAAAGATCACCCTCCTTCAACATGGCTTTGAGCAGTTCTTCAACCCTTTCACCACTAGTCTTCAATGGTGAGAACTTTACTGTCTGAACTATCAAAATGAAGACCTTCCTTAGAGCAATTGACCTCTGGGAGGTAGTTGAACAAGGTGGAGACCTTCCTAAGCTAAGAGCTAATCCTACAATAGTTCAAATGAAGCAACATAGTGAAAATGTGGTCAAAAGATATAAGGCACTATCTGATTTGCACAATGCAGTAACAGATACTATCTTCACAAAGATCATGGCTTGTTGAACAACCAAAGAAGTTTGGGTAAAGTTCAAAGAAGAGTTTCAAGGGTTAGATGGAACTAGGAGAATGCAGGTTTTGAACATGATAAGACAGTTTGAAGTGCTCAAGATGAAAGAGAATGAGGTTATGAAGGAATATTTGGATAAACTCATGAAGATAGTAAACCAAGTGAAGCTACTTGGAGTAGAGTTTATTGATAAAAGAATAGTTGAAAAGGTTTTAGTAAGCATACCAAAGAGATTTGAGGCCAAGATCTCAACTCTTGAAGAGTAAAAGGACCTTTCCATGATGTCGTTTGCAAAAGCTAGTCAATGCACTTTAAGCCTCAAAGCAAAAAAGGTAGATTAGGCTTGATAATCATATTGAAACTGCATTGCGAGCCAAGTTCAAGGACAAGATTGTCCTTCACAAGAGCAACAAAAGGCCTACTGGTGATAAAAGGGACAAATAAAGGAAAACTACTACAAACGTGAAGCAACAAGGTAGGAAAAACAAGTATACAGCTTGTTCTCTTTGTAAGAAGACCAAACATATTGAAAACTTTTGTTAGTTTAGGCTTAATGTGAAATGTAGAAACTGCAATTAGTTTAGTCATGTAGAGAAGGTTTGCAAAAACAAGGCCACTCAACAAAATTATCAAGCTCAAGTAACTGTTAAAAGTTGAGACGATAGAAAAGCTATTATTCATGGCACCTAAAGGTAATTTATTTGGGAAAGTTGGGGCAAACTGGATTAATTGACAGTGTTTATTCAAGTCAACTTACACCAAATTCATCATTGTTCACCTTAATTGGCTAAAATCTGTAGGCAAGAATAGAAATTGGGAATGGTGACTATTTGGAGGCTATTGGCAAAGTTATGTGTTAGCCTTGAGTTATATCATGTTTTAATTTGACAAAGATCACATGTTTTTTTAAACTTAATGTCAAGAATTTGAAATTATATGAAATACAATTTTAATCCCTTAAGGTTACATATTTGTTTGGAAAGCCATGCATATTTAAAAAACACCTTATAAGCTTGAAAACAATGCATTTTTAGCTAAAAAAATAAAGAGCAAACATGTCTTGAAATGTTTATTTGAATATAGGTACAAGGTAAAGTGGAAGTAGCTAGAGAGAAGTACCGAAAAACTAAGAAAACCTCAAGACACAAGCTAAGAGTAAATCATAGAGAAGCTCAAGTTGATTTGAAGGCTGAAAGAGTGGAAAACATGAAGATTGTGCAAGCATAGTCAATTACAAAGGAAGCATAGTCTACCCTAACAAGTCAAAAGTAAAAAAAACTCAAGATTACACAACCACAGTTGACTATAGAGGAGGTATAATCAACCCTGACAAGTCAAAGGCCAAAGGAAGTCAGCTTTAAATAGACATAGTCTACTATAAAAAAGGCATAGTTGACTATAAAAAGCTAGATTGGAAAAATACACACTCTTTAGAAGTTGATTGACTATAGAAAGATTATACTCAACTATAGAAAGATTATACTCAACTATAGAAGCCTTAATTGAGAAATTTGAAGAACATAATCGACCCTAAGAATATTGTAGTAGACTCTCAAGCTTTAACAATGGTCAGATTTAGTTCTAACTTATGACTAACGGTTTCAACTCTTGCCCCAGGTATAAATAGATTCATTTAAGCCATTTTGAAGTAAAGAAGACTTGAACAAAAGCTTTAAACCCTAGAGATACTACTCATAATCTCATCTTCACTCTTTAGCATCTTTTTAATCTTCCATTAAGTTTCAAAGTTGAATCCTTGCTTCAATCAAGCTGAAATTTCTTCTTATATTACACCAAACTAAAATCTCTAACGTCTAATCTTTGTGAGACAAATCTTTGCTATTACTCCTTTGTATGCATATCTTGTAAAGGTTATTGCTTCCCTTTTAAAAAGCAAGAATCATTTATGGATTGTGTGGGTTACCGCTTCATGCATCGAAAAAGCAAAAATCCTTTTATGAATTGTGTAAAAGTTATCGTTTAATCTCGTAATAAGTTGTTGTAAGGATTACTACTTGATCTCGTGAAAAAGTAAGAATTTCTTTGTAGATTATGTAGGGGTTATTGTTTCCCAATAAAAAGTAAGAATCCTTGATAATGGATTAAAATTCCTTGGTTACCAAAAAAATAAATGTAAGCATCAAAAAAGCCAAACCACTATAAATTGTTTATTTCTCTCTTTTGTTTTTGCATTATTATTTATTGTTTATACTTACCTTAGGAAAATAGATTTATATTGATTTATTGTTTTTCTCTTAGGAAAATATTTTTCCTTTACCTTTCAGAACTAGCATTTATTTCAAGAAAAATATTTATCTTGATTCATTATTTTTATATTTAGGGGTTTATTGTTGAAAATTTGTTTTTGATATTAGAAAAAATTTTTGGGTAAAAAAGGTTGATTTAATATACTTAGATTTTTTAAAGAAATTTTTGGGATTACTTGAAATCCCTTTAGAATTTTCTTCATGTTAATAATCTGTTGGAGGGTAAACTTTTAGAAAATAATTGAGTTATCTATGAATTAGAGATGGGAAATCAATAATTAGTTACTACCTATGGAGAAGCCTAAAACGGTTTAATGGTATTGGCTTTGTGACATAGGATGCTTAGATATTCTACAATGATATTGAATAGGAAGGAGGCATTAGACAACCTTACCTAAGTCACTTTTCATTGTGAATTGTGAAGTTAGGGCTTCATTAATAAGAATCGTGATAGTAGCAATCGCAATTCAGTAATAGATCCAACCTTGCCATATAGATACTAAATCCCATGAGTTGCATGATGAAACCTAGATAATGATAATTAATGTTATCAAAAACATTTTCAAAGTCAAATTTAAGAATCAAACCACTTGAGGAATTCTTCCTTAAATAGGCAATATTAACTTGTTAGCAATCAAAGAATTGTTAAGGATTTGCTTACCTTTGATGAAGGCAAATTGGTTGTGGCCTATGACCGAGCCAATGACTATTAGCAAGGATTTTGTATGTGGTTCCCATGAGATTGATATGCTTTGAATGGGTGAGTGAGATGACCTATAGCATTTTGGAATTGAAGTTAGGAAGGAAGGATTGATGTTCTTGTTGAAAGTGCTTGTGGAGAAAAAATTACTCATGAAGTTAAGAATGTCGTTTTTGAAGAGATGTGAACGTTTATTAAAGAAGTCCATGTTAAAATCACCTGACCTCGAGGCTTTGT